TACAACAAACTAAAATCGGCAATACATAATTAAAAGATTATAAAACCAAAGTACAAAGAGAAAGATAAATACATATATCCAGGCAATACCATAATAAAAAAAATTGGTACTGTACATGGATACTTACTTATCACATTCAACAATGTACATTGTGCTTATAATGCAGCGCTGTTTGCAACAATAGGGACACTTTGGGAGGGGAGAACCCTTTGGTACATAATTTGTGAAATGTGCTACTCTATTGGGCTGGTCTACTCATTTTCTTGGTGGGAAGGATCCAAGTGTCGAGCTGGCAAATTGGATTCCAGGGAGCTGAGAATAGCTTAGATCTCCAGAGAGCTTCAAATCACAATTATATAGCTTGTATATCTAGCACAGCATTGGATATATTGAAGGTGTGAAGCTTGATTAGCTTCCGTGCAACTACAAAATCCATGCTTTTTGGGGATTCTGTACACATCCTCCTCTCTTCTGCTACCTCCCCATTTTGCAGAAGCTCTGCTGATTCCCACCACAGCAAATGTTTGCCTTTCCCACTAGCATGGCAATTAATAATGTCTTGAAAGTTTGCCCAAAGGCCTTCTGCTGAGAGATTCCAAGGCTGTTGACATTAGTTCCCCAGCAGGCTATATTTTCTGATGCTGGGCCACCGTCCCTTTGAAGGAATGTGTGCGCTTTCCCACTGCTCAAATTTATTTCGGCCTCTGTTTTATTTCCCCCTCCCCCCGCTTCCCCTCCCCCGTGCCACATTTCTTGGGATCTTGCAAAGAGGTTGATCTGGCTGCTGAAAAACGAAACTTTGATTGTGGGAAGCCATGGGGGTTATGGCTTTGTGTAGCTGACATGATTGGAATTCGGGTGAGGGGGAAAAAGAAAAGGCTGGCTATTTTTTAATTTTCATCCACTGTCTCCCACTCCCAGTCTGCAGCCTCTTCCCTGCTGCCCCTGTCAAAAATGATGGGAGAAAATCATGACCCTGAAGCTCATTTTGTCATCACGATGGCTGCCTGTTTGTATTTTGTGTGACCAGGATATTAAATCATATCCAATTCCCTGAAGGACATCTTAGCTTTGACCGAATCACCATGGCAACTTGCCAACCCAATGCTACTTAAAAAATATGGCACAATGGAACAGTTTTGTAATTTTGTATATGGGATTTAATTGTCTTAGGGGAGCCCTTATCTCTTTTAGATGGTAATGTAAATGTTGAGTTTACATTACATTTATTGTTGAATTACTCAACTAACTCCAGGGATTAGAGTCTTGCCTAGGATTACATAAACTCCAGCTGGACATCTGAGTCACTAAAACTGTTGACTGTAGAATGAACTAACCCTTACATCTACCAAGATAGAGGTCCTAGAGAAACATAGGCCCTCTCTAGGCACTCTGTCTCTATGGGTATTTTGCTTTCACACATGTCCTCCCCAACCTATAATAATTATACTGGGTGGGAGGAAATGGATGGGAGATGGGATGTATACCTAAAATTCCCTTCCTCCAATATACAGAACTACTTCTGGATGAAGGAAAAGGTGCTCATTCTTCTTTACATTCTCCTTGCTGGGCTACAGTTTTCATTGCTATAAATATGGCCCGTGTTAGCTGGCTGTGACTCATATGAGCTCTCTAACATCTGGAAACCTCAAGTTTCTCAGCTGTATGTCAAAAGATCTCTCTCTCTCCATCTCCTGAAAATAGATTTGCCACCCTCCAAATTTGCCTGTTTAGTCCTTAAAACTGGAATTAGATTGGCCTCCAAACTGTAACATTTATTTACTATTATGTCGTTAAAAAAAACCCTTTTCCTCCTTTCTACCCTTCCTGAAAGCTGAACAACAGAAGAGTTTTGTTTCAGCTTTGACTAGGGCAAAAGGCAATATTTCATTGTAGATCTTCCTTGTTTCTCTAAAATGATCACTGTCCCACATTTACTTTTCTTTTTTGTTAATATTTTTAGCTCTCTAGCATAATTTCCTAATCCTTTAATAGCCGATTGCCACCTCCCAACTTAAAATAAGAGGCTGGATTTCCTTTTCCATGCTGAAAAAAAAGCTTGCTTTTAGGATGAAAGAGAAAAGTGACCCACCATCAGAAAAGACTGTTTCACAAGATGACTCAGCCAAGTGTTCCCCATTCAACAGTTCTTTACCAAAGAGGGGTGAATTCACTTTCTTATAACCAGCAGTGTGGAGCCATGGTTGAGCTCAGCTTTCCCCAAATCAGGGTTCTCCTGACACATTACACTGGAAATTCCTAGAATCTCTAACCAGCACAGTCAAAGGATTCCAGAAGTTAAAAAGTCCAACTCATTCAGGAGACCACTAGGTTAAGAAATTATGGTTTCTTTTCTGTATAGTTATCAATCCAAGAATGCTTGATCAGGGTACAGTCTGGTGCTATTCGAGCTGGCAATATCATATCAAGGGTAGGCACCCATAATATCACATTAGATATCCAACTTGCTCTTTCATGTTTGAGCAGAAAGACAAAAGAAGCTTGTCTCTGGTAAGCTTGGCATGCAGAGATGTGTTCAAGTACAAACAGTCCTGGGCTTCAAAAAAGAAAAAGAAAAATGCTAATACGAAATCAACTTATATGGTTTATAGTAGAGGTCCCCAAGGTTTTGGGGAGTTAGTGGATCCTTTTGGTATCTTGAGAATCTGATGTGGTGGTCGTGCAAAATGTCTGCTGATGGGGAAAATTGTCTATCTGCAAAATAGCTACTAAGGGACATAACCAGTTACAAGACATCAGTATCTGCAATTTCTTTAGTTCCTTCTCCTGCCCTATTATCCCTGCTTATCCCTGCCTTTTTCTGAACAAGTGGGCACACTTCCAAACATAGCGTTGGATTGCAACTCATCTTATAGGGTTTGTTTGGAGCCCAGAGGCATATTTGGAAATATAGATGATGCATTGCAGGGACAACATTTTTAAAATATAAAAAATCCGATGGAGCAGGGAATCTGAAAGTTGCCAAGGGAATGTCTATATACGTACTGGCTTCTCTCGGCACCATGCTGAGGAACTAGGTAAACACCGATGCACACAGATACACAGGTGAGATAAGCTGCATCTCAGATTGGCATCTGTTTGGGGGAGGTGTTGGTAGAACGTCTTGCCAACCCTCATTAGTTTCAGTTTTACAAGGTGCTAGACCGTCCGTTTCTCTGTCACTTCCAAACTGTGTGTTTTTGCCAAGGGACAGATGAAGAAGCCCTTACAAGTCCATATGTTCCATTGTGTTTCCATTCGCTGCTTCCTCCATCTTTGAGGACATCTTCCTGTGATGCAAACTGGAAGTAGAAACCTTTCGGAAAGTGGAAAGTCTCCTGCGAAAGTTACCTCCAGAAAAGTAATAGAGAAGTGGATTGAAGCAACAATTGAATGCCGCAAGGGAGTAGGTTATCACCACAGATTTCTGCATGTAGAGATTCTTCTCACAGGTTGTATCCTCTCTCATCATAAAATGGATGTGGACAGTGCGTTGGACGTGATACGGGGTGAAACTCAGGAGGAAGACTATGGTCACAATTAGGATCATCCAGATGGCTTTTTTACGAGCTGCTGCTTTCTTATGCATGGGGTTCTTCAGGAGTTTATGTAGAATCATGGTGTAGCAGATGGCAATGGTAATAAAGGGGAAGATGAAACCAACAAATAATGCAATGTAGTGGAGAATCATCAGCTTCCTTGCGTCCTGTTTCCTTGGTGGTTCAAAGCATTTGGATATGTTTTCGTTCGATAACTGGGTATTTTTCAGCAAAAATGGTGAAGTGGTCAGCGTCACGAAGAACCAAATGCCAACACACACCATGATGGCTCTCTTCTGTGAGATAAATTGGATATTCCTAATTGGGAAAACAATGGCAATGCAACGGAAAAAACTCATTGCTGTCATGAATAAGATGCTGCAGTACAAATTGACATACATGGCATAGGAGCTGATCCGGCATAAAAAGTCACCAAAGAACCAGTTGCCTTTGTTGCTGTAGTAGACCACTCGCAGGGGCAAAGTACATACAAACAGAAGATCTGCAATTGCGAGATTGAACATGTATATCTGGAAAGGTGTCTTCTCCTGGTATGTCCTGATGAGGACACACAACACAAAGCCATTTCCCACAAATCCCAGGATAGAGATTATGGAGTATGTCACGGGATACACCTGACTCCGAAATTCATCAATGGTGACATTGCATGACATGTTTTTCATTGTGTTTACATGAGAAGCCATGGGATCACACTCAACTCCTACAGGGCAAAAAGGGGGGAAAGAAAACAAACACACTCAGAATGATATTTAAAATGTAAAGATGTTACCAGTGAGGCAGCTCCCTTTTTTTTGTTGTTTTTTTTAACTGATTTGTTCTTAAATCGTGTATAAAAATAGTGGTATACCAAGAATTTCTCATTCAGTTTTATGGAAAAGAATTGGTACTTGGTTTTATGTTCAAAGGAGTCAAAAATATCAGTGAAGCTCTTGTGATATGTGGAATTCTTGACCTTACCTTAGTGACAAGGTAGATGATGGGTGAATGTGATTGTCCTGCCTTTCACTGTTCGATCCCCTCTGCAGTAGTTTGCAGCTTCCCTGGCTTCTCATGCATTAATCCCAAGGAAAATGATGAGGGCAGCCAGGGAAGATGCAGAGTAAGAGGGGGGGAAAACAGTCCCAGGAGCATCACCCATCCATTACCAGGGATGAAATAAACTCAGAACATCCTCCAAAGGCAATCTAAAGAAGTTCTAAAGACTCTGAAAAGTTTCCATTTAGGCTGTCTGTCAGGCCAGGAGAGTGATAGTAAGCAGGAAAGCGATTAGCATCTTGTCCTGATTTGCATATCTGCCAAATAAATGGATTCAATTGCTTAGTTAGAAGTTTTCTTGGGGGTAATCTCCTATATTCCATTCTGCATTGTGTCTAGTGAGACTTTTATTTATTTCTATTGAGGACAATTTAATGAGACAACCAGAAGGGGGCAATCCTGATTAAAGAGGAGATGCTACATCACTAAGTAAAAGAACTGGTGGTGTTCTTTTTTGGGTCTCAGTGAAAAGGCAAGTGGTGCAATGTTAAAGAGAAAATATGAGAATAGTTCTATTGAAAAAGGTGATACGTGCTGGACTGGAAGTGTGTACATTTCTCAATGGTTAAAATCTCATGCTTGCTTATTGGGACTCGCCTCCACGGAATTGAAAAGATCTTGTTTCAGGTGCCCCTGAACATCTAGAAAGTGATGGTTAGATGTTCTAGAACACAGTAACCTAAGGAACAGCTGGTGGAAGCTTAGTTGCAGAGCCCATGTTTTGCAGGAAGAAAATCCAGCCTCTTTCCTTAGCATCTCCAGCTAAAGCTAAAAGATATTTGTTAAAATCCAGAAGGTGGTGTAGGCAATACCACACCAGATGAACCAAGGGCTAGGTTCAGTTTTGGGTACTTTCCTCCCCTCCTAAACATACAGCTCATGATGATTTTTATTTGTTTCGAAGAAATGAGATTAAACTGCAGATACAGAAGAAGCTGAAAGCTTAATGTGCCATTAGAAAAAAGCATTCTTCTCTGTGGCAAACCTCAAAGTATATATCCTAAACGGCTATATTACTTAGCAAGGAAGCACATAGTTCATTGAATAAGTCTCCAGTTCATTTCAAGTAGCTATAGTATGTAGAAAAATTAGGAATATTGACCCTACACTTGATTATTCAGATATATCCTCACTGAAACCATTTATCCCAGTTAAGTGTGTCTAGGATTTCAGTCTGCCTCTTATCATATTACTCTGCAATTGACTAACTGCCAGTTCATGTCCCTAAATTCCATAAAAGTCAACTATCTGGAAGAGGTAGCACATGGGGTGTGATGTCTTGAAACTAGAGCATGCATCCAAAGATTATATCAGCACCCAACATTGTTTCTTTAATAAAATGTTGGGTTGTCCACACTTTCCTTTGTACAGTATCTATAAAAAGATTGCCAGGAAACCTAGCTTAAGTGCAGGTGGAGGCACTGATTTAAGTCCAAGGGCTGAACTAGCTGTGGACAAATGCACCATGAGTTGCATATCTCTAGGTGGCAAGGCTGTAGCGTGTTGAAGATGGGGCCACAGTCCAAAATGGGCAGAGATACCCATTGTGGACATACAGTGGTTTGTATGCTTTCTCCAAAACAAACAACCCTTCAAGCTCTACTCACATGCTTCTGAACATTTCTTCTTCCAGAACTGAGAAGCATGAAGCCTTGAGAGAGAGGTGGCAGAGCCGAGAGCTGGACAAAGGGCAGTCCGTGTTCAAGAAAGCAGTTATCCAGATGGAAAAAACTCTGCAGGATGTAGGTTTCCTATACCTAATGTAGTATAGAAAGAGAGGGCGGGGGGACGGGGGGAGAAATAGCTTTCAGTAAATTGGAGCCCGGGAAACACTCCCTAGAATTACCACTTTGAGATGTGGTTAAGGGTTAAGCACTCCCAAGCACATTTTTCTAAGTGCTTCCTGGAACATTACCAAATTAAATTGCCAAAATTGATTCAAGCATAGAAATCACACCCTTCAGCTTGAAAAAAGCATCTTTGTAATTTAGGGATGGAAAACCTTTTGAACCCCCAAGGTGCCTGCAGTGAGGCTGATGGGTCTGGAGCTGCATACGCGTGCGTTCAAATACACAAATAGATATGCACACAAGCGCACCCAACTCCACACATACCTGCGAGGATATATACAAATGCAGAGGCAAATACACCCCCAGAAGCAAACAGTTATAAACAGAGAAACACGCCCACAGACTCTTCTCCCCATTCCCAGTGATTGACACTTAAAATGCTATATTCAGGTTGCAAAGCAATAATTTCATTTGGAACTGCTTGGGTGGACATTTGTTCTCAGAGTAGTTCAAGGGGTTGTTTTCTAATTGCTATTTGCAGTTGGTTGACAGCAGTCTTCATGACTTGGGGGAGAATAGAGGGCCAGTACTGTAACCCTTCCTCTTTTATTTATTTCATTTAATATGTGTGTGTGTGTGTGGCCACCCATCTCCATACAAGATTCTTTCTCTCCTCCTGACCATCCTCTTAAAGAGGATGCTGCAAAGGAAAGTAAGGGGAGGACACCTTGGAGGCAGCCTCTGTTCCAGCCCAATCACACTTCTAACTTTTTGCAACACAGCAAGCAAGCAGGATATCAGGACTAATGTTGAGCTAAAATTGGTCATCCCTCTTCCTCAAAGTTTTCTTTTCTTGTGAATCAGGTGTTGATTTTCCTTCCACATTCATCAGAATTTCTTCCCATTATTTTTCTGCAGTTGACAGAGAGAAAAGGTTGCTTTTTTTTTTTTTTAATGTATCTCTCTATCATTCTGCTGCTTTCCTGGTTCTCTCTGCTTCTGGTTAGAAAAATCAGTCTTGGAAGGAGGCTACGGTCTAGGAGAGACAATGGAAGGCAGGACCTTTGCACATATCTCTAATTCACTCAGATATAAGTCAGGGCCAATAAGAATTTTACAGTTTTCTTTTTCTTGGAACGGGCTGTGGGGGGGGGATGAACTTTCTGGAGAAAAATAACGCAGGAGAAATGTTCAGCACAGCTGTAGTCAGAAACCAGATCCTGTCCATGGATAATAGTAGTAAGCAAGGATGCTGAAATGGCTTCTGGCCTAAATGTTAATGTCTAAATGGTGGTTGCTCAACAGATATTGCTTTCTTTACATCTTTATGGAACCGTTAAAGAAACCAGGGGGTGGGGTGGGGCAGAGGGAAAGTAGCCCAGACTGAGTAAGTTCTGACTTGAAAGCCTTTAAAGGCTTAAAGTCTCGTTTGCACTGGTTGGGCAATTTAAGCCATGCTGAATCATAAATGTCTCGACCCATTTAGCTTAGACAAGGGTGTCGTCTGGATCCAAGGCTGAAGATTTTAGAGTTAATCCACATTATCTCCAAGCAGAACTAGTCAAGCTCTGGAGAACCTCCCTCGTTTAGTGTTGATGATACTCTGCTAGAAAAATGAAGAATCTGACTTCATTTTGGCCACTTCACTGATTCTAGATTTTCAGCTGGCCAAAGTACTTTTATGAGAAATCCTCCCAGCTGAACCAACTTTTCCAAATAACATATCATTGCATGGTTGTTTACTTCTGCTTTTTAAATGGAGTTCTTTCATTATTACTGGCTGCCATCTGACTTTCCTGTTGGTTCTAATCTAAGCAATATGTAGCCATGGTATTCTTAAACAAATCCATCTAGAATTCTTTCTTAATAAGAATGTTCATACCAAGAGCTCAACTTCAGATGCTTTCTGAACTTGCTGGGAATAATTTGATGATGATGAAGGTTCAGTTCTGCAGGATTAACCCAAGGAATCTAGTTGAGTAAATGTGCAATCATCATGTAGAAATCCAAAGTTATCTTGATGTTCCTTGAAAATAAAGAGCAAAAAGCACAATGAAAACAAGTGAACAATTACATTTCAAAAATCTATTTTTTTCAATGTGTGTGTGTGTGAAAAAACCCCCTGATCACTATGGATAGTAAAGGAGACATATGAGCAAATACAACACTTAGTAATGCATCACCCTTAAGGAAGAAAATGTATCACCAAAACAAGGACAAAAGAGACTACTGGATTGTGTAAAATAGCATCTATTAATTTACAGATATCAGAACACATGTAGAAACAATTATTATGATTTAGAAAGGAAATATAGTTTATCCAGGTGAGGCTGGGAAGTATATGACCAGGTAAAGTGTGCTACTTGCTCAGGCTGCTGTATGTGTAACTTTTGATTGGTAACTTTAGCATTTACTATGCCACTTTTTCATGGTCCTTGATCTTTAAACAGTTAAAGATCTGGACACGCCTTTGAACTAAGAACATGTTCAAATAGAAGACAGTCATGTAAAACTGCCCTCTATTGATGTTTTCAACATTATGAGAAATAAATTGATTTCAAATGTGAAATAGTCAATTGCTGAAATTCTTGTAACCCCATCTCTTTCATCACAATAAATCTTGCTAAAGAAGATTTTGTACTTGGGCAGAATTACTTTTGCAGATGCTGCTAAAGAACTTGATACATAGAAAGGCCTTGCGTGCTACCTCCAGCGTCTCACCAAAGTCTGCCAAGTGTACTTTGTAATGTGACACTTTACCTGGTCATATACTTTGTAATAGGACACATGGCACTCCTACATGTATTTAACTGGAAATAAACATTAGTGAATATTATTACATCCATGGAGACTAATCAGATTGAGACCATTCAATTAAATTTATAGTTAATGACACCCACATTTAAATTATGTTAAATCAAATTTAAATTTTGGTAAAGCTCCAACCACTTCTTCATCCAGAATCTACCTTTTTTTTTTTTAATGTGGCAAAGTTTTGGATTATGAGCTTGGATTTCAGTGGAGTTTTTGCATGAACTCATTTTCTGGTATCTGGTTTTTGCATGATCTCATTTTCTGGTTTCTGGTTTTTGTATGATCTCGTTTTCGGGTTTCTGGTTTTTGCATGACCTCATTTTCTGGTTTCTGGTTTCAGTTAGATTGAATTCAGTTAGACTGAATTAGAATTAGAATTCAATTAGATTGAATTAGAATTCAATTAGAATTCACTTGAATTAGAATTCAATTAGAATAAATTCAGTTAAACTAATCCGATTGGATCAAAATAGCTTTTCAGCCCCAACTGGCTTTTTGGGATGTTGTCAGAAGCAACAGCAGGGCCTTTACTGGGAGTTGTTGGGAACATGTACTTCTGACCAGTTGAAACAATGATGAAAACAAGAGCAAAATCTTGCAGGGACAATGCTGTTAATAGGTGCATGTTCAAACTAAAAACTTTACAGTCCTAAGATCTTCCCAGTTATATAATCATTTAACGGAAAGTTTAAAAGAAAAACCCACAAAATGTTTTGTGCTCTTTTCTTTGCTTATTTTTAAATCTACCTGGCCCCTCGGAACTTTATCTAAACAGTACTTCTGTTTGCTAAACACAATTATCTGCTGTTTGATTTCCTGATAACTTGATTTTAATCTCAGCTGTAAGCAGCTTTAGCGCTTATTTGAATAAGAAAGGTAGAAATGAGTAAGGTTTTGGTTTTTTTTTTTAATAGTGGTTGATGTGAAAACAGTTTGGTGATCTTAAAACAAATCAAACTGTTAGAAAAGAACAAGAGCTGAACACAGAATAAAACTTGAAAGCATAGAGTGGAAAAAGCGTATATGAGTGGAATGAATTTCATGGTTGGATTCCAATTTGGTCTTACTTAGACCGACTCAATAAAATTAAAGGATTAATTAGGACATGAATAGGACACATTGCACTCCTACATATATTTAACTGGAAATAAACATTAGTACACTCAGCGGGGTTTACTTCATAGTGGACACATAGAATACTTTTATAATGGATAATTACAGGTAGTTTTCACTTAATGACGGTAATTGAAACTGGCAACTTCATTGCTAAGTGACGCAGTCATAAGGCACAACATCATGTGACTGTGCTGACTTATGACAGCAGTTCTGGCAGTCCTAGTTGCCATTGTTAAGTGAATCCCACACAGCCACAGCATCCTGTCATCACAAGATCGCTATTTGTGACCTCCTCCCGGCTTCCCTTTTGACTTTGCTTGTCAGAAGCCGGCAGTGAAGGTCGCAAACAGTGATCACATGACCATGAGATGCTGTGACTGTCGTAATTGGAAGCCAGTTGCCAAGTGCCCAACTTGTGATCATGTGACTGTGGGGACACTGCAACAGCCACAACTTTGAGAACCAGTCATAAGTCTCCTCATTCAGCACTGTTGTAACTTCGAACAGTTGCTGAACAAGTGGTCATTAAATGAGGACTACCTGTATACAATTAAAATGGCAGAGAAAGAAATCTGGATGATTAAATTTTCAACCACATCTTAAACCCTCTCCTCCAAAACAAAATTGCTACCAAACCGAATTACAGATTCTTTGCCCAGCGAAGGTAAGAAGAGTTGATTTTTGAAACACTAAAGAGACCATTAAAACAAAAATAAACAAACAATACAGAACCCTAGATCTGTGTATCTGATCAACTGGAGAATGAATATGAAGATATTTGAATTTTGCCCACGTCTATTCAGAAGAATGCCCAATGCATGACACCCATGGGAAATCGACTGTAGGGAATCGACAGAAAGATACATGGAAGTGATTTTTATGGATATATCTTATATCAGAAATTTTATTCTCTGGCCTGATTATGTTTTTGCTTTAACCATGCCAAATTTATGGGGCAAACATTGTTGGAGATTGAAGCATTTTATCTGTGAGTGTGACCGTTCCTGAGCCCAGGAATCTAATCTGGACGAGGATTAGTGAAACAAGTTTTAAAACCAGAACAGAAAGAATATTTATTTACAGGAAATACATCACAGGCATCAGCAAAGCTTAGCAGCTAGGAAGCTACATCCTACCAGGAAGACAGTCCAAGAGCATGTGCTCCTTATGCATATATGTGCCTCGAAAGAAAGACAGAAGGGGATGACCTCTAATTCGCCATTTCATAGACAAGAAGACAAAGCTGGACAAAGAAGAGATGCAGAGCAAGTATCTACACCCTGCTGTCCCTTATGGCTAGTAGGAAGAGTCAGTAATATTTGATTTGGACCTCCAACAAATACTATAAAGATAGGTGTGAATGTATTTACTATCTTCAGTTGTGTTGCACCCAATAATGTTGGTTCTGAAACATTTTTACCAATACTGTAATCTTGCAATGCTTCCCAAACATTGCCTTGCTTCATCTCACCATTTGCAATTTCATGTGTATTCTTGTTGCCCCATAAAAATGTCTGATGTGCACCCTAGTAGGAACTATAGCAGACACACAGGCAGCCATCCTTCAAGCAGTGTATCTTCTTAACTGGACACCACTGGCCATGAGCTAAACTGAACCTGACGAGTGTCAAATGCTTCACATTTGTCAGGATTAAAGCCTGCACAAGATAGCTTGCTAGCCATGATTACTGACTAATTTAATAGATGGTGGATCACTAATGTACAACAGGAGGAAGGGATCTCAGCAAGAACCTGAATTATCACTTGGTCTGCTCCTAAGTTCTATATTCAACCAATTCTCTGTCATCTAGGGACCTGTGGCCCTTCCAGTTCAACTTCCAGATGTTGCTGGATTACATCTGCAAGCATGGCCAAGGATGCTAAGAGCTGTAATTCAGCAACATCTGGAGGCTGTAGGTTACCCATCTTTGCCTAGAGGTTAAGAGGTAAAGTTGAATTGGAAAAATCCAAGCAATAATAGGAACCAGAAACAGAGATTCAGGATCTACCCAGTTCTAGAGTTACCCATCACATTATTAATAATTTGTTTTCTTAATCAGAACATGTCCAAATAAAATTGAGGACAGTTAAATAAGCAAAGAAATCAATTATTTCAACTTCTGCAAAAGGATCTACATTGCAGAAGGCCCATCTTAAGAGAGTCTGTACTCCATGAGTCAGAAATGCCAACTACTCTGCTAGTGGAAGAATTATATACATTTCAATTACAGACCTTCCACACTGGACTTGATCGCTGATTTAGGGATGTTCGCTGGGAAGCTTACATGGTCTGATGATCTGCTTCAGGATACTGGGCAGAGTGAAAGTGAGATCAGCCCTCGTTGCAACGCTTTCTGTTGACTCTATAGAAAGGAAAGGAAGATAGGCTAAGTCTGTGTGGACCTAAGATAACAGAACAGATTGTTAAATATTTACAATATTTACAGCTTAACCCCTTCCTCTCACATCTTATCATTGATCCTATTTACCTGACTCAAACACTAGACCAACAGAATTTTCACTTCTAGCCACAAAGAGGCTTGGAGAAATGTGATGGCTATATTTAAAATTACAACTGGGGAGGTCCATTTCAGCCTGCTCTCACTTTTGGAACAGCTTTAATGCTTTTTCTCAATGAGCATGCAGAAAGAGCAAATAATCTTTCAGCACTACATGGAAATCCTTCTCTTTAGCCTTCACTGGAAGAGACATCAATCACTGGGGATTACAGAACAGGCATCTTTTGGATCAAGCATCTGGAAAAATTCAAGTTCCATTTTAGGTATCAAACAGATCCCTCTTGTTTATCTTACAGCTTCTGAAGAAAGCTGCTTATGGCACAATTAACTTTTAATGCAGAATAAAAATAGTTTTATTAGGCTGCCCATTTGAAGCATATTCTCCAGATTATTTGAGATTCTGACCATCTTCATCTTATAAATTCATTTAACTTTTACTAACTTCAGTGGAGGAGACAGAAAACTGTTTCCCCCCCCCCCTTATCTTTCTCTCCCTTTCTATATAGACACACAGATAAAATGAAATGTTGATAGCCCAATCAAAGAAAGTAACCCATAAAAGTGCCACCAATGGGAAGGCAAGAAAGGGCTCTAACAAAGAACCAGACCTGATGCCAGTTAAATATCTACTAATTTAGAGCGTTATAAGAGTTTTTCAAGTTGCAAAAAAACTTCCTTATCCAAAATATGTATGATCATTTGAACACATATACATCATTCAAATGAAAGTCTATTACTGCAGAGAGTGCTTGGTCATTAATTTAATGGGATTGTTATCATTAGCTTTTTATTGTATTTTACATTGTTGAGTGATGCTCCTTTGGAAAAGTTTCCAAAAGTTTGATGCTACTTTTGGAAAATGTTTAACATACAGTTTTCATTAAGAGATTGATTAAAAAAACATTTTTTTTAATCAATCTCTTAATGAAAACTGTATGTTAAACATTTATTTTTAAAATTCCTTATTAGAGGCAAGAGAGAAGCAATTTCCTCTGATGCAAAAGCAGGTTTTAAGGACTTATTTTGTCCCGAACAACTCAAGTGAAAGATTGTTCTTTGGAAGAATGGCCTTTACTCTGCTTTTTAATTACACACTTGATTTGATAGGTTTGATATTGCAAATGGAATGCTATCATTTCAGTGCATTAGCAATAATCTGTGTTAGCCAGAGAATGATTTGGCTACAGTTTCTTCTCTTGGTTTATCTATATTCAGATTTAACCATATATTCCACGTCCCATGGTCTGACTATTGCTATTAGTGGTCTGACAAAAGTTACAGCATTTTGTATCTAATCCTTGCAAATGAAGTAATCACATTAGAAGCTTGGAGACTGAGAGCCATGTTGATGGGGGTGGGTGGGGGTTCCTAGAGGCCACATTGCAAAACATATATGAGGGTAGAAAGGAAGGCCTGTATCACATACCCATTTATGCAGATATTAGTTGCTTGATTATCTGATTCTTTGCTTTTGAAAACCCTTTCCAAAACGAAAAGGATTTTGGTGCAATTCTCACAGGTAGAATCTGGTGTTCTGATCCTTATTAGAGAAGAGTCACTCAGGCTATGCATGGAAATGTTCCATCTTTCATGGTACCATAATCTCTCCAACACTTTGCAACCTCCCTGGCTCCCCCTACTTCCATTCACTCCCAAGAGAAAATATCAGAAGGCAACTTCTTCTAGAAGACATTTTCTGACTGAGAAGTATAAACAGCCAAGGAGTTTTCAGATACATAATGGAAACAAACAAACAAACAGACAAAAACAACAACAGTTGATCCTCATCATCTCCAACCGATAAAGCCAGCTTAAAGGAATGACTAAGAGACACTTGAAAAGAAGTTGGCAAGCACCCTAAGATGAACTTTGAATCAGAAAAGTCTTTTTCACAGGGAAATTACATGCTTGAGCAACTGGAAATCTCTTCAGCATAATGTTAGACTGAACCACTACAGTTTGGGGTTGGTTGCACAATCTGTGAAGCCTTACATCCAGGGCGTCCAACTGTGGCAGTTGAGTTCTGGAGGCCATTCTCTAGAAAGTAAGAAGCAAAGCCTGACAAAACTAAAATGAATGAACTTAGTTTACTTTTAAATCTAACTGAAATTAAGTATAGTTTAAATTACTGTGCTACAGTCCTGTATTTGCTAGTTTTCTCCTTCCACATTCAAAATCAAAATGTGGTAACAATTTTTGAAAATCTCTAGGGGGTGTACCCAAGACTTTGGGAGATGGCACGCAGTGCTGAGGAGACTTAAATCATGGCTTACATAGTAGCTGTGTTCCAACAACCTGCTTAACCTGGTTACTGAACTGACCTATTTTCTGCTTTCCCACATTGAACCAGAAACTAATCAGATTCCTAGTTTCTCACAACATCCCAAGCAAGAAAACAATTAGCCCAGCTGACCCCATTAAGCAAACTAGTCCACCAGATTTGTAACTGACTCAGTTAAGGGTAAAACTAGCCAGGCTGAGCTTGTTAAACAAACCAAGTCACTAGGTTTGTAACTGATCAGATTAAACGCATTGTCTGAGCTCAGTAAATGGGTTAGCCTGAAGTGTCAACCAGACTGTAATTGGCAGGGTGGTTGTCCAGATGCTCAACTCCATTTGTCCTTTGCTCTAGCTCATACAGCCAAAAGAGATAGTTGATGGGGTCTGCCAGACATTCTATGCAAAGGCACATGTTGTCCGTCTCTGGTTTTAAACAGAAATCTTTTTTTCCCCTAAAAGCAACTGTTTTACCACTGAGGAAAGCTCCCTAAAATGGAGATGAGAACAGATTATTAAAAGCCAAACCAAACATCTAACGCAGTGTTATCTATACTGGGACAGAAACTCAAGGAGTGAAGAAAACAACTTTTCCAGTTGTCCCAGTGGGCAATGCCTTTTCATGCTAGACATTGGGCCAGAAGTCCTTCAGTCTATCTTATGTTTGAGTTGCCAGATAAGACTCTCAGCTTCAGTTCATCCGTTCAGACCTCCAGTAAGATTGATCTTTTGCCCTTCATCAGCCAACTAAATGGGGAAAGGAAAACAAAACCCTTTTTCAAGTTAATAAAAGCAAGAGAATCCCTAGGCTGAGGACAAGCATCTACAAAGATGCTGTACCAAAGCGGGGAGAAAGATGAGGAATGAAGTTCATATCATGAACAGGAATTACTGAACAGTTATAATGTAATGAAGAAAAAAAGAAGATACGAAGAAGGAAGGAAGGTAAGGAGGAATGAAGGCCATTCCTTTTGGCTTCTGCTCCATCTACCTGACAGATGACCACCCAAAATTATAATCTTCAATTGAAAAAACAGTTTACATTGGCCACATAGGAAGACCAGAAGCTGATCAGATTCATCAGGGATCTTTTTATAAACACAGAGCCTATTACTCTTTTTATCATTCTGGGAGGGCAATGCCATGTGGCCTACACTATAAGTTACTTCTGAGTAATACTAGCCTTAGCTCCTCAGTGCAAGCAGTGCCATTCTCTTGCAGCCCTAGCTGAGTATGGAACTTGCACATTACGAATTTCTCCTTCCATTTTCTCCCGGTATCCTTCCTTTATGTCTGTGACCTGTTTGGGGCCACGAGTTTAGCGTTCATTGCTTGACCGAAGTTCAGAAATAAATGCAAAAAGAGGAAAAGTGGTAGAAAGGAGGTTTAATTGAAGCAGAGTCCCAATGTATTCTCTCTTTTTGATGGGATTGAGAACATAAATGAAACAACGCATAGTACATTAAATATATTATACATGAATAGAACGTGCGTACCAGTACATGTTCAATAAGGATTGTGTACAGAGAGAATATAAAAAGAAGACTTATGGAAAGAGATGTGGTAGCACTCATAAGGCTTAAAAAAGGAAATGAAATAAAACAAATAGAAGTAGATGTATCAGAAATCACTAAAACGAGTGATCAGTAAAATAAATGATGCCAATTGCAGACAAATTCACAGGAACACAGATTAATTGGCTGACCTTTGCACTGAAAGGTTGAATGTGGGATAGGAAACCAAAAAAAAAAAACCCCAAAAAACCCCAACAAAAAACAACACCCCCCACCCCCCGTTAAATATAAATGTTTAAAAATGCAGAAGTACAAGAAGGAAATATAACACAGTCTGTATGCTTCTTACCGAAAAGGTTATCTAGGCTCTTCAGTGGAAAAATGACCATCCAAGCTATTGATGTCTAGAAGAACTCTTACCCAACACAAATTTCAGCTCAGGCTGGAAACCATTTTTAGACTATAATCTAATACATGGATCCATAGGACATTCAAAATTTGGGTTTATTTATGCATAGAATCTATATTTCAATTTTACAAGATACCTAAATCAGAATAGATTTTAGCAACATAAACTAAACTTACTATAGTGTATAATTCCATGCAGTGATTTATACTGTGTTTTGATATTCATTTTTCAGGTTAAGTTTAATTGTAATTCTCAGTCCCCTAATGTGATATAATATATATTTAACTATTTACAACTAATTAGTGATATTTTAGAGAGTTATAACCTGCATAACATTTTAAAATCCCTGGTTTATTCATCAGTATTATCTTTTTTATTCTTTTTTCATCGGCTCTTTTGTATTTGTTCATACATTTTCTTCAAAGTGCCCAATAAAAAAAGAAGGAAAGAACCTGGAATTAAGATGACAGTTGCGAAGTTATGAAGAAAGTGGCAATGACATTGCAAATATGACGACATATCAAAGCGGCAAGATTTAAGACACTTAAAAATGATTAATACCAATGCTAATTACAGACAGGCTTAAAGGTTATGGAAAAACCAGATACTCTATATCTCATAGTTAAATGAAACAGAAAATATTAAATAGATAAATATTTAAAATATAAGACATGAACATAGATAAGTCTGAGAACAAAGAAAGTAAAAGTAATTAAAACATGCAGGAGAATGTAACAAGGATTCCGCATGACAGTTGTGAAACTATATAAAAAATAGACCCTGAAATATGAAGGCAGCACAAATTGGCAAAGTTACAGAAAAATGGGCAGCCACATTGAGAATATGAAAGCCTAGCAAAATGGCAAGAGTTCCTATAGTTAATATTTGTGATATTTTATGACAATATTTTGCACTGATCATATTATAGTGGTGTATTCATTAGTAAACCAGTGACTATTGATAAGTATATAAGATCAGGTAGATTTTTATTTATTTTTCTTCTTTCTTTTCTTTCTTGCTTTGTATTGTTAGTTTGTTTGGGGCTGTCTCTTTTCTGATTTTTCCTTTAGTTTAAATATTGTTTTGTTAATAGTGTATGCGCAAAGTAAGTTAATAAATCAAGAATCACTGTAGTTAAAAATGATAATGCCACTATTGATTGAAGGCAGGCTTAAAAGATGTAAAAGCTACACTCAGTATACATGGTCAAAGTCAGTCACAACATACTAAAAATAAAAAATAAAGAGACACAAATGTAGACTAAATAAAGCTATGTACAATAATACATAATAAACAGTCAAGCTGTGAGCAAAATAAGCCCATCCTTTATTTATAATAAGGAGGAAAAGATCCAGGTGGAAAAAGTATGCAATTCCTAAACACAGTGCTACACTCAGTATACATGGTCAAAGTCAGTCACAACATACTAAAAATAAAAAATAAAGAGACACAAATGTAGACTAAATAAAGCTATGTACAATAATACATAATAAACAGTCAAGCTGTGAGCAAAATAAGCCCATCCTTTATTTATAATAAGGAGGAAAAGATCCAGGTGGAAAAAGTATGCAATTCCTAAACACAGTGCAGAAAAATGAAATATTCAAACACTTGGTCCTGTAAATAATGACAAGAATTTAAGTTGCATTGGGACTACATTACGACAAACTTCTGTGTCAACACCCCATTAGTTGGATACACAAATGGATAAGTGCACCCTCTAAGCTGCTTGTTGTCCTATCAAACATTAAGGAGAATCACCAGTGGTTGTTTTCTCCACCAGCAGGTGACACTCGGAGGTAGGAAAAACTAAGCTCTGGGAATCCACCAATGGCTTTCTATCATTTGTTTACTGTTACATGTAAGGCAGGGAAACAGATAAGCACACTTTGGTCACTAAGCAAAACTTTAGACCATTATGGTATGCTGCCGTCTCACTTTCCCATGTATTCTGAGGAGCTATAATGTCAACTTGGAAAGATTGCCCAAGGCAAGGTCACACATGAATGCAGAAGAGAAAGACAAGATCTCATTCATTTTTAAAGCCACAAAATGTTGCAATGGGTGAGTTAAGCAAATGCTGGATTATATCTGGATTGCACCAAAGAACCCCCCAAGATGTCTATCTGGGCAAATATCTAGCCTTATGATAGGAGGGATAAATCCATTAATTTTGCTTTTTTCTTCAGTTTCACTGCCTTCAGTTCAGTTCAGTTCTCTTTTTTCGCTCAAAGCTTTCTGCCCATTTCTCTGCACATATCTCCCTGCATAGGTATTTTTGTGCAACACACATACACACAATTTCCCTAATATATTTATGCATATTATTTTGACTGAAACATGTTTGTATGCAGATTATGACTGGAGAATTGCACGTTAACGTTCAGAGGAATGCAAATGTTGAGCAATGGCCAGCTTTCATAGATCAGCGTATGCATTGATTTGAACTTTCAAAATTCAGTCAGTTCATATTAAAATGTGAGGGTGCCTAATAAAAGGTGGGCATGTGTGTGTTAGTCCTTTCCATTCCTTCCCTTCCAGTTTCTCTACCTGGAGGAGAAAAAAAAAAGAGTTGAAAATAGCATGATTCCCTCCTACCCCCACCCCGGGCACAATGTATGGTTTTCTGAAGCTTTCAGGAGCCCGAAATCACCTTCAAAACCTCATGGTGCTTCCAGATCAGTTTGGGGCAGTGTGTAGCGATCCTACATATTTTTAAGAAGCCATAGAATTAGACCAAATTGGTCTGGTCTGAGACTAGATTTAGCCAAAACAGATGCAAAAATCTATCACAAATGTCTCTTCTCCTTTCCAGTACACTATCTGAAAGTAGGATCTACCCCTTTTGATTCCTACAGAGGCAAATGATCTTATTTTAAATCTTTATTGCATCCTGCTGGGTTGGTTAAATGTTAGGATTCCATCCAATAATCTTCATGGCTGGGTTGGGAATTAAATACAGAACTTCCTGGTTGAGATTGAACATGTTTCCGTTGCACTATGGTGTCTTTCCAGCAACTATCAGTATTCCTGGACAGTACAGTTGTGTTGGTCTGTTATATCTGAGAACTGAGGATAACATATGGCTGAAGTGTCCTTATTCCTCCATTAACCCATATTAGGTCTATGTGCAAAGAGCAAGGGCTAAATGCTTCACCTCTGATGTTCAGATGAAAATCCTAAAATGTCTCTCAAGTCCCACTGAGGCACCACCTGTTCCCACCTGGATGTTCAAGATGTTTCAGAATTGGATCCTGCTTTTCTGTCTCGCTATCAACCAGTACAGACTGGCTTTAGAACACCAGACCGGGTTCCAAGAAGATTTATTTTGCAATGCACATACTTAGATCTTCATTCAATTATTTGATCATACCTTCCTTCCTCCTCTCACCCAGGTATGTCAACAAATGCTTTGTAGAAAGAGTGAATGGAGCCTGACAGAGTTCCAAAGAACCTGAATTGAACTTACAGTAGACAAACAGATAAGACTGTAAGTTAGATGTGGGCAATAAAAAAAACTAGTAGCAAGTTCTTGTCTTTCTATGGGGGCATATGAAGGGGGAGGGTTTTGTTGGTCAGCCTCCAGGACCCATGCATCTCAGCTACAAAGGGGGCAAGCACTATCACTGATAGGTCAGCTCGGTAAGCAAACATTTTGGCATTCCCTGACCACCAAATGGGCACAGATCAATGGAATGCCAAATTGAGGGTTCATAATATTAATCTGATTGGGTTGAATCAAGTCATAAGAGATAGAGAATGGCATGATGAGATTGATAATTTGTGAATTGGCAGACAGACAAGAATCTGTTTCTCATTTAGTAAAGGAATAGTGACATAGCAATCATCAAAAAGGATTATGCAAATATCATCAGCCCACGCAAAGCAGGTTTCAGGAATTCAGGTGCTCCAGATTGAGTGCCCTCAGGTGTTACATTGTTCTGGAGGTTCTCAAGATGAAGAGTCCAAGGTACACACAAGTATCTCTCTTCCTAATGAGAATAGTACCTGATTTATAAAAATGCTTGCTCTTTTTTTGTGGGGGTGGGGGGAACACACCAATGAAAGCTATGATACAGACATTCAATTCATAACATAACACCTCTTCTGGGCTAAGATTCAGAAGGTTTCTGCTTAAGCCTACTTCATTCATTGCACCACTGGATGGTCATTTCAACTACAGTATCACTGGGCAGGAAGAATGGACCAAATAGGGCTGATTCTACTTTGCAAGGGGCGATTGCAGTGACGAAACATACCATCGAGCCCATTTTCTCCAATTGTGAAGGCTTCCAAAGACTGTAACTTTGCTAATGTCAATAACACTCTCCATTTCAGCAAACTGACTTACTTGCAATGTCTCTGCAGGACTGTCGCTTGAAGCTTCTTGTCCCGTCCAAGCTGAGCAGGTGATCTTCTCAAAGGAGGTCGGCGTTCCACGTGCACACGCACGAAGTGGTGTTTTGAGAGAAATGACTTCAAGTCCAGGAAAAAAGAAAAAGAAAAAACTAGAAAGAAGGGAACCTGCCTTTCTGGGTGAATGAGAAAGAATGTGGATGAAAAATTAGCAAAATACCTGGGCTTCAAAAACGGGCTGCTACTTTCTCAGTCCCAGTTAGAGGGAACGTTCCATGCACACAGTCAGCTACCAGAAGCGGTTTGCTGTGTTTAAACAGAAAAGCCACAGAAGCCCCTCCTTATTCCTTTGGCTAGGGAGGGGCTAAGCCCTTTCAAGGAAGATAGCTTATTCTGTACAGTAGCAAGAACTGATTGCATCATTCAGTTCTGCTTTCTCTGTCATGTTACAACATGTCTTGGATGAATGCAGAGTGCCTGGGTTTCTTTCCACAACATACCTGTCTTTACTTGCTACCTAATTATATTTTTGCTGTTGTTGGAAGAGTTTGGAAGTCTGGAAAAAACGGTCCACATTTTTCTGTCTTAAGAGAGAGGCTGGGTTCCTGTAATAGTGTGGTGTAGTGGTTAAGGAGCTGAACAAGGAATGGGGACACCCATGTTCTAGTCCAGCCTCAGCCATGGAAACTCCCTGAGTGACTTTGGGCCAGTCCCTCCCCCTCAGCCCAAACTACTTCACAGAGTTGTTGTAGGCAAAAATAGGAGAAGGAAGGGCTATGTATGCGGCTTTGAATTCCCAAGCAAAAAGAATATAAATCTCACAAAGAATGCACTGGCGTAAAAATGTGCTTACCGACTTTGTGATTCAGTGCTTTTTGTGAAACCTGGCATTTGGGTTAATTCAGCAAAACATGATTCAGTTAAACATCGATTAATCCGATGTTATGACATCATCACACGAATGATGTAAAACGTGTCATTTTGCACTTACAACCTGTGCAAAATGATGCGTATGACATTGGTGACATCATGACGACAACAATGATGCATCAGATGATGCATCTCTCCCGCCATCCTTCTCCTTCTTACCCTAGAGTTCCTTTGGAGGGAGAAGGAAGACAGAGGGAATTCCTGGGAGGGTAAATGGGGAGCCTCCCTATAAGACCCTGGCTTAAAACTCCCTAAGCCTAGTAGCCCCAATAAGCAATATAATGGATGTAGATTCAGACAGAACATCTAATATATAGCTGGGTCCAGTTGGACTTTCTGGTACCTTTCCCACACAGATCACAAATGCTCTGATCTGATTGCATATTGCCAGAACATCATGGGGCCTCTACGAATCTTGCAAGTTGAGACAATTAACTAGGTACATTATATAGCTCAATTTGTGCTATATATAATTCTAGAGGAGTGTTTCTCAACCTCATCAGCTTTAAGATGTGTGGAC